TTGTATCTTCGGAGAATCTTTGTACTCGCTTTCGAGGAGCTGCCACTAGCTTGTTGTGGATGGGATCTAAGGTATCTCGCTGTCTCTTCTTATTTGGTTGCTGAGCTAGTAGTTGACGGTCAGATTTTCGGGATCGCTTTCGTCTGTGTTCCGTCCCTTGTTCAACATCGGGTTCTACAGGTCGCTTTCGCGTCGCCGGTTTCTGAACAGGATTCGTCGTTTGGGTGTGTAAGCTCTCTCGCAACGAGCTCCGCTCGGCGGCAGCTTCTTGTTGTTTATTTCCCGTCTGATATATAGCCACTTTATTAATTGCCGACCTCTTTGCAATGCGGGAACTTCGCGGTCGGGTGGGAGGTTTGCCGTTCCCTAGACGCGTTTTGAGACGTTAGAGCGAGTTCAGCGGGATAAGGTATGGCTACGTACCCTCATCCTTTGGCATCAGAACAGGCCGTTTCTTGTGGTCGGGTAGATGTCTTGAGCGGGTAGCCATGTTAGTCAATGTCGGGATATTGATGCGCTTATATCTTGTTATGCAGTTTCGGTGGGGTCATCTAGCGCGAAAGTGCCACATGAACGCCAAGCATTGCAGGGGTGCAACCCACGCGCCTGAGACCAATCCTTCTCTCTAGCTCGTAACCACACGGCTTTGCACGAGATCTACCCTCGCGTCGCAATATATGCCTCACGATATTTCAGACTTTTCGCAGTTTGATACAATGAACCTTCATTCATACTCTCAGTATGAAAATGACTTCACATCATAGCCTAACGCTTGCTTGTGGCCGGGCATGGGCCACGCGTTTCACAGTATTCGCGCTGCTGACTCCATAGACGACTATGTATTACAACATGCTTGCTTGCATGAATCCGTGGGTTGAGCTAATGGTGATCATGACAGTGTGGCATTACGCTAAACACCCCTTCTAACCAATAACACCACGCCATGACAAAGGTTCTACTGCCCTTCCATCGGGAGCTGTAACCGGGAGCCTAATCACACCACTTGCACCAGCCTAGCGCGTCTCGCTTTACGTATTGGAGCTCCCCTGGCTTACTGGTCCGGTCTATACGGCAGAGAGGGCTTTGAAGGATGGTAATTCTGCCTGTTCTTTATTGACTCGCCGAGTCGCGCATTTCATATACCTGCCGCCCTCTCACGGCCTCGTTCAGATCATGGCCGCTCGCATACCTGACGGATTCAGTTCTCAACCGAGTCCCTGACTTTGTCTGCAATTGCTTCGCCACGCAATTACAACTTCTGAAGTGCACAGCTCCACACCTCGTCAGCCAGCCGGTCAGAGTCCGCAAGGCAGTGTCTGGTCGCCGCGGATCCCGCGTCTCCTGAAACTACTGGCGCGGACGATATGCTCTGTATGGCCTCTCATCGGTCGCCTTGTACATGTTAGCTGCTTCGCCACTAGAGCTGCA